GTTTTATTTCCTGTTAACACAGAGCCTTTGCTCCTTCATGTTCTTCACTATCTGATAGGTCCTCACCACAGCCCCCCCAAGACCCATGAAATGGTCAAAAGGCATAGAAATTGCTAGGCTTGTATCTTCCAGTGCTTTAGCCCTGGGGTTATACCAATCCTTTTTCTCCTCTTTTTTCTTATCAGTTCTTGCTTTCCGAATCTATTTACTCTGGAGTATAAATGTCCAAGACTAGCCTTAGGAGCGCCTGGCAGGGCAAACAGAAGATGCATCTCATAGGGAGCAAAGTCTCAGACTAAAGCCGTGTTTCGCAGTCCTGGCTGCCATGAGAATCACCTGGGAGCATAAAGGATACGGCTGCAGGCCCCAACCCCTAGGGATCCATTGGTTGGAAGAGGAGTCAACTTCCAACTTCATTGGTTGGAAGAGGAGACAAGTTCCAACTTCATTGGTTGGAAGAGGAGACAAGTTTGTTTCAAACTTCCCCAGGTGATTCTAATGTCAGTTGAGCTCAAAAGGAAAGGTAGAAAAGGAAGGAACAGGGGTTAACATGCACAGGTGACTGTCTATGAATACTGGGAACTGCGCTGTTGACATCAGTGCCATTCCAAGTTAACTGGGCTCTAGCCCGGAATCTGGAAGGCCTTATTCAAGAAAGTCCCAGTTTTCTAGAGTCCCCAGAACCCAAGGGGGCTCTTGGAGGAATTGGGCACATTGGCTTTTGTCTGGAATAGAAATTGAACAGCAGTCTCCAAAGAGACAATTTTGGCAGTTAGAGGCAAGCAGCCTCAAATGCAACCTCAACTCAACATTAAAACCATATTGTGAGCCGGGCACGGTGGCTCACGCCTGTAATCCTAGCACTCTGGGAGGCTGAGGCGGGCGGATTGCTCGAGGTCAGGAGTTTGAAACCAGCCTGAGCAAAAGCGAGGCCCCCGTCTCTACTATAAATAGAAAGAAATTAATTGGTCAACTGATATATATAGAAAAAATTAGCCGGGCATGGTGGCGCATGCCTGTAGTCCCAGCTACTTGGGAGGCTGAGGCAGCTGGATTGCTTAAGCCCAGGAGTCTGAGGTTGCTGTGAGCCAGGCTGATGCCATGGCACTCACTCTAGCCTGGGCAACAAAGTGAGACTGTCTCAAAAAAATAAAAAAATAAAAAAGATAAAACCATATTGTGGTTCACAGATGGATGTTATTATAATTCATAGAACATTGATCGTT